GAGGTGCCTGAGATTAGTCTTCTAAAGCCATAATTAAATCTTTAAGTAAATGGCCTGATTTTCTTGAGTGCTGAACACACAGCTGCTCAGCTGCCTTCGTTAGGAACAGGGGGATGCAAAGCTCTTGGGGAAAAGGAAGGAAGGAAGGAAGGAAGGAAGGAAGGAAGGAAGGAAGGAAGGAAGGAAGGAAGGAAGGAAGGAAGGAAGGAAGGAAGGAAGGAAGAGGTAGCTTGAAGTCAGTGCTTTCAAAAATGTTTCCCTTCATCCTTTTACACCAGTTTCAAGCCTACTGCCCAGCACATTGCATACTGAAAAGCAAATTATACCTGTGTACATGGATTTCCCTTTCAGTCCCATTTGAAAGGATTTTTCAGGATAATATAGAAAAGTATTGACTGTAGGAAAAGACCCACCAGAGCGTGTGAGCAGATAAAGTCAGACCTTCTTGCCATGGTGTGAGCCAAGTCTTGTACAGTCAGGTTTGCTCATCGTACAGAGCCTGTTTTTATGGAGCTGGGATGCACTCCCTGAGCCCTGCTCCAGCTCCCTTGGCAGGTCAGGCTTGCTGGGATGCAGACACATTCCAAATGTGGGCACATTTAACAGGGCATTTGTACAAGACCTTCCTACAATGGGATTTGACAGCACTGACATTAATCTCTGCAATTACAGCCATTTCATTAGGGCAGGAGATAGAGGCATTTTACATACTAATAACAAAACTGCTATGAAAACATTAAACTACACCAAGTGAGATTAACACCATTGGGATGAGCTACACAGCATTAGGGTTGAGGCTCTTCTCATATCAACATTATAAACAAAAAGCTTTCTAAGAACCTTTCCAAAGCCTTATTGGATTACGATGAGGATAATTATAGAACTGAGATGAATCCAGTGGCTCTCTGTAATGGAATACAGCCAGTTCCAGCTACTTGAATGCCAGTATGACTTGGCAGGGCCCCACAGACATTGCTCTTCCATGGGTTTTTGCCTATCCCACGGGAAGAGGTGACTGTTCCCCTGGTCCCAGGCACCCTCACAGGCAGGGTGGGAGAACCCAGTGCTTGAAGGAAGCCTGAAGAGGGAACAGTGTTTGCAAACCAGCAGAAGGATCTCTGAGGAAATCTTTTGCCATAGAAGTTTGGGGGTAATGGAGGCCTTTAGGTTCCTCAGTTATTTCAGAACTGATTCCAACAGACACTGCATTGTAATGTGAGGAGGGCAGGGAAGAGCAGAGAGTAAACTAATGTCAGCTACAGCATAAATTTGGCTGATTGAGCCTTTCTGGTTTGGGAAGGAGGGAAAAAGTTGCATGAGACATCTTTGAGGATTAAAATCCTGCTGACAGCAATATCCCACCACCTTCCTGGTGGAAGGAATCCCTCCAGAGAAGTGTCCATACACCATGGCACTGCTGTGTCTCAGGCATGTGCTGCCCACTTGGTGCCTTTACAGGTGTTTGGCAGAAGCAAAAACTAATCAGAGCTCTGAAGGCAATTTTAATGCATAGCAGAGCCCTAAAACCTGTTTAATAAATATCCACATAAACAGTACTAAAGGTCACCTGTCCCTGCTTTGGGAATGAGGGAAGGGGAGGAAAACACCAAAACCATTACCTGAATGGACTTACAAATCTCACCTTTTGGAGCTGTCCCAAAGTGCCTCTTACCCACTGTTTTAGCTGGAAAGAGCAAAGCAGAAATGTTAAAGGTAGGAGGAGAATATTCAAACAATAATAGAAAATACAAGATTTGACAACTTGTTGGATCATCATTCCTTTGCTGCAAGGGACACAGATTCCAGGCAGCAGG